AATAAATAAACTGCTAATACTTTTTTCAATAAAAAACAATTTTATAGAAAATATTGCTTGATATACTTTCCTAACTATCTAAGCATCGATCAAAGACGATTATCGTCGAAATCAGAAACTAATGCTTGCAAACTCTTTGCTGTATTTTGTCAGTACACAAACCTTTTTGCATTTCATAGTTCTTTAACAAACTGTATGTATAATATTATTGTTTTTTGTGTGCTCATGAATCATGATTGTCTACATACATTGAATTGATTATACTTCTGCAAGATTAATTTAAATATAATCACTACAAAAAAATAACGCGTTAGTCACGGATTTATTCACGGACCGTAGTATAAAAAATCTGTGACTAACTCTTTTAGTCACGGATTTCACGGATTTAGTCTCGTAGGGACGTTACGAGACGAACCTACCGTTTGTGGTAAAACAGATGGATCCAAAGGTTCGCCATGAGAAGTCCAATTATAATAATTGGGAACGAATCCTTCCGCGTACAAATCCCACCCAACTTCTTCTGGGTCTTTAAATTTGAGATTTTTACACTTTGAACATGGACATCTGATTTTATCACCACTCATACAAGCCGGGTGTTCTTGTGCGAACGCAATAAACTCCCCAACTCCTTCAAGAAAATTTGATTGCATTCCATCCAATATCGCATGTTTATCATACATCCAAATTCTATTTTGTCTATACATTATGCCTGAACGTGTATAATAAAAAAATTATACAGGTTATTAAAATATATTCAATTTTACTAATCAAAGTTCAATGCAATTGAATATTATTAATTACAATAATGTTCAATTAATATTATTAATTAACTAGAACTAGCCAATACGTTAATATAATGTCATTTATCATTTCAATTATTAACAAATAACCAATAATATCCGTTTCAACAGTAAATTATTACGTTAATGACATTTAATCTTATTAGTAATATACAATTAACAATTCCTAAACAAAATAATATGACAAAATCCAATAATTTGAGCATATATATAAACTCATTTGAATTAATAAATAATACACAATTCACAATAATAATGCACAAAATATAAGTAATGTTTTAATCCAAACTAAATTTAAATAATTCATTTCGTTAATTAAATAACAACCCTTTTTAAACGCATTTCAATTAATTAATATTTAAATTTAACGTTTAATAATATCAAAAGTTTAACTAATTTAACTTAATTAGCTAAAACGTACGTTTAGCTAACTAATTTTACTAAATTTAACTTAATGCATCACTACGTTTAAACCTACGTTACGTTTAGCTAACTAATTTCACTTAATTAACACATCACTACGTTTAAAACTACGTTACGTTTAGCTAACTAATTTCACTTAATTAACACATCACTACGTTTAAAACTACGTTACGTTTAGCTAACTAATTTGACTTACCACATCACTACGTTTAAAACTACGTTTAGCTAACTAATTTTAATTGAATTATTTTATAAACCTAAAAATTTAACTAATTTTATGACATCACTACGTTTGTAGTTAAATATTTTGTTAATTAATTAACAACCTCACTAATTTAATAGTGTTAATAATTTAAATTGAACCAACTAATTCTAAATAAAGTAATAATTTAAATAACATACCTTGTCTGTGTAAACAGGGATAATGACATATGATAGACTACATCCTTCGATCTTTCAAACAGCTACTGTATTATATACTGGGAATGAATTGGTGTGGTTCTGTTGAATGAGCTGCTCCTGCATATATAAAAAATTTAGTCACGGACTTAGTCACGGATTTGTCCGTCACTACGCAAAACCGTGTACATTACGCGTCCAAACCGTGTAAATGACGTGTAAAGTACGCGTGCGAATAATTTTATTAAATTTAGTCACGGAATTAGTCATGGACAATTCCGTGACTAAATTTATCCGTACAGATTACCGTTGGGAATTAATTTCTGAGCGCTGGAAAATTAAATTTTTTTAGTAGACACGGATTTAGTCACGGATTTGTCCGTGACTAAGTCGCCGGTGTAAAACAAACCCCGCCGGAAACGGAATCGGAGCTATCGGACCATTTTAGTCACGGATCTGACCGTGACTAAACTTAGTCACGGTCATAGTCACGGCCGGATCCGTGACTAATTTATTTTTTAAATATCCGTGACTAGTCCGTGACAAAACTAGTCACGGACCAAATCCGTGACTAAAATCCGTGACTATAACGCTGTTTTTTTGTAGTGAATCTTACTACACTCATAAATAATATATGCATGATCTGTTGAATAATCTTAACGACTTAACATTTCTATTGATCTTCTCTAATCAAATTAAACACAACGAATATAACAAGTATGAGAAATGATTTACTTACTTGAAGGAAATCATATCTTGTTCGTGATGAAACCATGATTCCCGTTATGATGTCTAATTTTGTGATGGATTGATTGGTATATCCCATAGAATTGATGTAGTGTTATTTATAGTACTATGGGGACATAAGAGAAGGGTCATGACTAAACAATGTGTCCTTTCGTTTATTTATGAAAGAAGAGACACAAATGAACGGTCATGCCTTCTAATTAATTTATTTAATTAATAAACATCTAACGGGAAATCAATTATTCCTTATAATAATTACAATTACTCCCATCAAGTAATGTTTAAGAAGAGACACATTATATCATGTTGGCATAATTACTATTAAAATAGTAATAATTAAATAATTATCATAAATGGTCCCAAGGCCACATATAAAATGGAAAATATTCTAACATTCTCCCACATGGCCGAGTGACCATTTATGATGAGTATTCATAAGTTTGGCCAAAGTTAATACCCATCAAGTTTCATATTAAAGTCATAGCAAAAAGATACAATCATTTTGTTGTTATCAACAAAAGACCCCCACCAATTATACTAAAACTTTAACATAAAACACTTAGAAAATTTATTGCCAAAATGATGGAGATATACAATATTAAATTGTATATATTTGTCTATAGAGAAATAAGTGCATGCATACATTAGTATAGACAAAATACTTAAGACATTTGAGGAAGTTTACAGTAATATGCTTTCATATGAGATCTCTAATAAGACCCGTCTTCGTTACGAGCTCTTGGAAGACATTGGGTGGTAGACCTTTCGTTATTGGATCCGGAAGCATATCATGAGTGATAATCTAATCGACACAAAGGATGATTTCCTCTACTTGTTCACTATGAACAAGAACTTTGTGTCAAGATATAATCCTGCACCGCTCGAACTCTTATTGTTCGAAGAAATAACGGTTCAAGAATTATCACATTATATCTTCAATGGTCTCGATACAGAGTTCACGACTTTATGTCCACTAATTAGGTTTCTTAATAACATTCAATGGCAAATTGCATATTAGACATCAACGTACTCTGCCATCATGGTTGAGGTCGTTGTCCATTTTTCATTATGACTTCTCCACGAGATAGGTCAGCATGCTGACATAAAGATATACCCTGAAGTAGATTTCTTATCGTCTTTGCATTTCGCAAAGTCGAAATCAGAAAATTCAATCACTTCTAAGTTATTAGTTCTTCTATTAGTTAGTTTGTATTTATTTGTCCCTTGAAGATATCGTAGAACTTTCTTTGCCGCTTTTCAATGATCTAAACCGGGATTATGTTCATATCGGTCTAGCATTCCAGCAATATAAGTGATATCGGGACGAGTACAAACTTGAGCATACATCAGGCTTCCAACTATAGAACTAATAGAAGCATAAGATATATGCTACAGGAGTACGTAACTGAGGAGAGCAATGTTGCATGTTATAACGTTCAATGTAAGCCTTTTGAAACAGTCCTAATGTTCCGTTAGCTCTATCATGATGTATTTCGATGCCAATTACATAAGAAGCTTGCCTAAAATCTTTCATGTCGAAGTATCGTGAAAGTAAACGCTTCGTTTCATGCAACAAATTCAGACTGTTACTTGCCAAAAGAATATCATCAGCATTAAGGACAAGTATGGAAAAATTGCTCCCACTCATTTTGAGGTAGGTACATTGATCCACTTGATTTTTTATTTAAGCCATTCTTTCTAAAGACATCGTCAAATTTCAAGTACCACTGTCGTGATGCCCGTTTTACCCCGTATATGGATATCTTTAATTTACATACAAGGTGTTTGATGTGTGTTTTCTCGCACTTAAAAATGATGTAGTAAAGTGGTTGAAAGTACGAGTATCGTCTCCACAGGGACGGACAAAAGGGAATTAAAGATTAACTAAATTCAGCGAATAAAAATAAAATAAAATAAAATAAAATGCAAGTGTGCGAGATTGATTGATTGAATAAAAATTAAATTAAACTAATGTGAACAATTAACCTAGGGGGTTCTTTCTAATTAATGACGAAGGGAACAGGGATCGATTCCGGGGTAACCAGATTTCTGGCAGATCAGGCCTAATTACATGAAATTAATTTAATTGAGCCTAGCTAATCATTACTAAGTTCTTACCGCTCTCGCGGCGTAGAGTACAATAATTTAGGGGACCAGGCTGATCTCTCATGCGACAGGATCCTAAATTATTGCCAAGACGAGCGAGCTTACGGCCCCTTAATCGCTACTAATCTCTTAGCGAACGATTAAGTGTGTGTGAATGTGTCCTAGAACAAATTAGATCTCTCTTAATTTATTCTACATGCAATTGTAATTCTAGTGGCCATCTAGGTTACAAGAGATATCAGTTAAATTATTCAAACACAAATTAAACGGCATTCATGCAATTAGACCGACAAGAATCTAGCCATACATCATGATTAACCCCTTCATCAACCCCAAATCCCTAATTAAACTACTCACAATTCATAATTGAAGAATCAATAGAATTGGGATGAATAGAAATAATTGTCATTAATTAAAAAGATGAAACTTACAAAGAATCTCAGGGTCTTGAACAAAATAGCGGAAAAACACTGTAAAACACGTCCCTAAGCTTCTCTCTAGGTTCCCCCCCCCCCCCCAAAAAACGGGGTTAGGGAGGCTTTATTTATAGAAAACAATGAGTTTGGGTCGAAAAAGGACAGATCCGCGGTACGCACGGAGCCTACGCACGGCGTGCGTTGCTGCCGTGCGTCCGACGGACCTGCGCGTGAAAATAGGCAACGCACGGAGTGCGTTCCCCTACGCACGTCCGTGCGTTGCTGCCAGTAGCCTTTCGCCATTTTAATGCCTTGAACGCACGGAGTGCGTACCCGGACGCACGGACGTGCGTTGCTGCCAGTAGCTCCCTTCAATTTAACGCCTTGGACGCACGGCGTGCGTACCCGGACGCACGGCGTGCGTAAAACTTCCGAATTTGACAAAACTTTCTTCATGAAAGTTGTAGATGATGAAGTCTTCTATCCAACCCAATTTGCCGAATGTGATTTGAATCATCCAATCAAGAGATATGATCAAAACGGTGGAAGGTGTCATTCTGAGATCGCAGCAGAGATCATCTGACTTCATCGTCTGTTTTCATCTTCTTCCTCTCAGATTCTAGGAAAGATGTCTTCATATGATTTGTAGATCTTGAAGTTGGCTTTCATGTGGACTTTGAATCGTGTTCATTGGATGCTTCTACAAAGAGATATGCTTGCCCGATTGACAGAAGGTCATCCTGATCGTCGTTTTCAAGCTTCATTCATCTTTTTTTGATCCCATAGCCAATCCTAGAGCTCTTTTGTCATTAAATCTTCATCGTAAACCTACCGGTGACCTCCATAGCTCTCAAATCAACACTCAAATGCATCTCGAATCATCCCGATTGCTCCTCAAGTGCCGATGTTGAACTCTAAAATCCTGATTTTGACTCCAAATGACACAAAACTCGAACCAACGCCTGTTAAACATAACTTGAGCTAAAATTGAGACTTGTAACACCTTAAAGCTAGGAAAACCATCAAAAGTCGATCCCAACACGCATCAAATGCGTGTCTAAATACGGACTTATCAGATTCCCCCACACTTAAGCCTTTGCTTGTCCTCAAGCAAACTAAACAACGGGACTTACAATAATCACCACACGGAATCAAAATAATTAGCATGCACACGTAGTTAGAGGAATATTCACAGAACAGGCAGACTAAACCAAGAAAATTCTTCCCTAAACTACATCTTTGTATTCAAGCTAAACTATTTGACAAAGTATTCACAACATCCTTAGAGTAATGATAGCATACACAAATAAACTAGCTATTGATCAGAAGGACTTGTGAAGGTGATGGTGAATGATGAATGGTAATAAACAGTCCCTTTCTTTTGAGAGATTGGAATATTCTAACAAAGACTCAATGCATTCGGGAACTTCAGGGCTATTCTTAGGATCAAGGAACTCAGTAGGCCACAATTTAGGAACAATCATTTAAACCTATGCAAAGAGTAGACATGGTGTACAACTAAGCTAAACCGTCTCGGCACATTTGCGCTTTGCCGTATACTTGAAGTACGCGGAGGACTAAAGCTAAATTTTGAGATAGCCTCCAAATTCATTAATTATGTTTAGTTTTCCTTGTCATGTTGGCACGAGAACGCTGTTTCTTTCGAAAGATACCCAAGTCTCATCTTACGCTTTTTGACTGGGGCTCTCATTCTCTTTTTCGCAAAGTAAGAGGTCTAGCTATATTAATTTTTCACCTTTCGGATTCTCACTAGACATTACCCCATTCTAATCTCGGCCTCACCAAGGAAAAATAGCAATTTTAAGTTCATTAATTTAAAAGTGAATCCATGCCTACAATGCAATCCTCGAAAGTATCAAATTCCTAAAAAGTGACTGCTCTTACCCCATTTGGGGCATAGGAACAGTGCCAAAAATGGCTCCTACACAAAATTCCCTAAACTTGGCAAATTAATCCCTTAATTCCCTAAACATCAAGACTAAGTCAGAAATATTCACGAGTAAGGAACACAGGCCATTTGGCTATGGAGCTAAATTAATTGGGTAAACAAAGAATGGTCGGCTCAAAATGGCTTTTCCTAAAGGACTTTTTCAGGTGGGGTGGATGATTTATGGATTAATTCAATGGGTGACTAATGCCTTCATCCTTTCAACAACTAGATTATAGTGCAAGCAATTTAAGCCTAAACACTTCAAGGATGCTCTAAAAGTATAGTCAAAATGCTAGCCAGCTCACAAAGACACAGTTTAAAGAAAAAATTTCAAAAATTTTGCATGAATTTCCTATGAATATACAACTAACACCTGCGCATGCTAACTCTAATAAATCTCATGTAACAACCACTGCCCGAATGCCCAATTCACTCCCCCACACTTAAACTTTGGCATCGTCCTCGATGACCAAAAATGCACTATGCACAAGGGGGTAAAGAGGATAGGGTCACGCATGCTCAACTTAACTCAAGTCAATATTTCAACAAGCGAGTAAAAGAGTTCAAAGAAACTTCCCTAAGGCATTGGTCGATGCAGAACTAAACTGAGTCAATGTAATCCTCGGCACATCATCCATACAACAAGACCCTGAGCTGCAAAAAAAAAACACAAAGCAAAACAACCAAACAACAAACAAAGCAAAAGCAAAAACAAAAGCAGAAAAAAAGCTCGGGTTGCCTCCCGAGAAGCGCTATTTTTAACGTCGTTTGCCCGACACAACTACCCCATAGACTCTCCAATAGCAAAGACTGTAGTGGTGCACTTATAGTCAACGTCTCCAGCTTCCTCTCAACAAATGTCATTAAGTGGCGCAGATCTTTAAATTCGTCAGCCCACGAAGGCAGCACATGGTCTTCATAACCCTCATCAGCACAGAAGTGAAGTATGAAACTCTCATCCTCTTCAGTTGGACAGAAAACATGAGTGAACACTTTGATTACTCTAGGTATCACCGGAAGCTCAAAAGATGTCTCAAAGCAAGGAGTAGGAGCAACACCGTAATCAAATTGCACCATACAAAAGTCTTCTTCTTCCTCACAAATATCATGAACATTCACAACCTCTCCTCCAGACTCTGTATCACTCCCCATGAAGGCATCCCAACTCTCGTTAACACCGTTCTCATCAGGGTCTTCAAAAACATCAGGAAGTGTATCATCCATCATATTCACACCATCATAGTCTGACTCGCTCACGTGATCATCCATATTGGTCTCCTCGGGTTGGGCTTCTGTGTCGCTAGGATGGGATCTATCGGACTCCTCAGATAAAGCCTTTGCAATCTGCCCCAATTGATTCTCCATGTTTTGCATCCTTGAGTCTGCTTGCTGTTGAATTTGGATTTGTTGCTGTTGAATTTGCATTTGTTGTTGTAATAATTTCTTGAGTGTTTCTTCCAGGTCAGACAGCTTCTCTGAAATTATCTCTTCCCATTCGTCGTCTGATTCCTGTGGCGCATAACTCGGCAAAGACGTAGGAGTGATTGAAACATATGTCTTTGTGAGTTGTGGGGAGGACGAAGTGGGGTATGCAGTTGCCCAGTAAGGATGGTCGTATGGAGGAATGGGGCAAAGACATGAATGGTGACCACCTCCACAAAAGTTACAAATGCTATTCTTAGGAAAGTAATCAACCAATTCCTCGGGACTTTTAGTTTGAATGAGAAATTCCATAATGGAGCATGGTTTTGTCCGAGGATATTGTGGATAAGGATATTGATTCGGAGAATGAGATTGAGAGTATTGCGTATTTGGAAGAGGGTAAGAATAGGAAGATGGGAAATTTTGTGGTGTAGGAGAAGAATTTTGATGAGATGTGTAATATTGAGGAGGAGGAGGAGGAGTGTAAGGAGGGTATGGTGTATATGTTGAATATTCCATGGAGGTTTGAGGGTAAGGAATTCCTCCAGGAATTTGGCTGAATAGGTTCATCTCATGCCTCTTAGAAAAAATACCTGAAAGGTTAGCACAGAAAAATCCTACGGAAAAACTAAAAGAAAACTAACTAAAAAAAAAAATCTCGCTGAAATTAATTAACCCTTAAAACCGACACCGTCCCCGGCAACGGCGCCAAAAACTGATGTGTGTTTTCTCGCACTTAAAAATGATGTAGTAAAGTGGTTGAAAGTACGAGTATCGTCTCCACAGGGACGGACAAAAGGGAATTAAAGATTAACTAAATTCAGCGAATAAAAATAAAATAAAATAAAATAAAATGCAAGTGTGCGAGATTGATTGATTGAATAAAAATTAAATTAAACTAATGTGAACAATTAACCTAGGGGGTTCTTTCTAATTAATGACGAAGGGAACAGGGATCGATTCCGGGGTAACCAGATTTCTGGCAGATCAGGCCTAATTACATGAAATTAATTTAATTGAGCCTAGCTAATCATTACTAAGTTCTTACCGCTCTCGCGGCGTAGAGTACAATAATTTAGGGGACCAGGCTGATCTCTCATGCGACAGGATCCTAAATTATTGCCAAGACGAGCGAGCTTACGGCCCCTTAATCGCTACTAATCTCTTAGCGAACGATTAAGTGTGTGTGAATGTGTCCTAGAACAAATTAGATCTCTCTTAATTTATTCTACATGCAATTGTAATTCTAGTGGCCATCTAGGTTACAAGAGATATCAGTTAAATTATTCAAACACAAATTAAACGGCATTCATGCAATTAGACCGACAAGAATCTAGCCATACATCATGATTAACCCCTTCATCAACCCCAAATCCCTAATTAAACTACTCACAATTCATAATTGAAGAATCAATAGAATTGGGATGAATAGAAATAATTGTCATTAATTAAAAAGATGAAACTTACAAAGAATCTCAGGGTCTTGAACAAAATAGCGGAAAAACACTGTAAAACACGTCCCTAAGCTTCTCTCTAGGTTTCCCCCCCCCCCCCCCCCAAAACGGGGTTAGGGAGGCTTTATTTATAGAAAACAATGAGTTTGGGTCGAAAAAGGACAGATCCGCGGTACGCACGGAGCCTACGCACGGCGTGCGTTGCTGCCGTGCGTCCGACGGACCTGCGCGTGAAAATAGGCAACGCACGGAGTGCGTTCCCCTACGCACGTCCGTGCGTTTCTGCCAGTAGCCTTTCGCCATTTTAATGCCTTGAACGCACGGACGTGCGTTGCTGCCAGTAGCTCCCTTCAATTTAACGCCTTGGACGCACGTCGTGCGTACCCGGACGCACGGCGTGCGTAAAACTTCCGAATTTGACAAAACTTTCTTCATGAAAGTTGTAGATGATGAAGTCTTCTATCCAACCCAATTTGCCGAATGTGATTTGAATCATCCAATCAAGAGATATGATCAAAACGGTGGAAGGTGTCATTCTGAGATCGCAGCAGAGATCATCTGACTTCATCGTCTGTTTTCATCTTCTTCCTCTCAGATTCTAGGAAAGATGTCTTCATATGATTTGTAGATCTTGAAGTTGGCTTTCATGTGGACTTTGAATCGTGTTCATTGGATGCTTCTACAAAGAGATATGCTTGCCCGATTGACAGAAGGTCATCCTGATCGTCGTTTTCAAGCTTCATTCATCTTCTTTTTGATCCCATAGCCAATCCTAGAGCTCTTTTGTCATTAAATCTTCATCGTAAACCTACCGGTGACCTCCATAGCTCTCAAATCAACACTCAAATGCATCTCGAATCATCCCGATTGCTCCTCAAGTGCCGATGTTGAACTCTAAAATCCTGATTTTGACTCCAAATGACACAAAACTCGAACCAACGCCTGTTAAACATAACTTGAGCTAAAATTGAGACTTGTAACACCTTAAAGCTAGGAAAACCATCAAAAGTCGATCCCAACACGCATCAAATGCGTGTCTAAATACGGACTTATCAGTGTTCTCGACCAGTCTACTTAAAACCTTCTGGTTGTGTCATAAACACGTCTTCATGTAAATCACCACTTAGGAAAGTCGTTTTAACGTCCATTTGATGTAGCTCAAAATCAAAATGTGCTACTAAGACCATAACGATCCTTACAGAATCTTTTAGAGACAGGAGAGAAAGTCTCCTGATAATCGATTCCCTCTTTTTGAGTGTAGCCTTTAGCAACCAAACATACTTTATATCTTTCGATGTTTCCGTTCGGGTTTAACTTGGTTTTAAAAACCCACTTGCATCGTACGGGTTTTACTTCCTTAGACCGTTCAACAAGTTCCCAAACGTCATTCTTTCACATGGAGTCGAGCTCATCTATCATAACTTCTTCCATTGAGTGGATCCGTCACTACTAATGGCCTTATTAGAAGAGGTTGGATCGTTATTCTTCCCTATATCCAAATCAGCTACATTGAGATAGGTGATGTAATCATCAAAGTTAGTAGGTCTTATAGACCTCGATGACCTTCTTAATGAAATTTCGTGTTCTTGAGGTTCGGTCGTAATTTCAGGGATCTGCTCATCCAAAATTTGTGTGCCTTCATTTAATGGCATATCTAGGGCAACATTATCCTCGAGAGTGACACTAGGTGGGTCAATGTTATTTACAAATGGTGCAATAGGATAAAGAGGTAATGGAGTCGTTGGACCCTCCTCTTTCACTTCTTGTAAGTTAACATCATGATGCGTATTCCTCCCACTAACATTAGAGTTCTCTAAAAACTCGACATGACGAGTTTCAACTATGTGAGTCAAATAAGGACAATAGAATTTATATCTCTTTGATCGTTTTGGATACCCAATAAAGAATCAGCTAATGTTTTCATGTCAAGCTTTCTTTGTTGAGGTTTATAGAGCTTAGCTTCGGCAGGACAGCCCCAAATCTTCATATATCTCAAGTTCAGTTTTCTTCCCGTCCACATTTCATAAGGTGTCTTAAGAAGAAATTTAGAAGGAAACATCTTGAGTATATGAAGTGTCGTCTTTAATGCCTCGGTCCATAAGAATTGAGGTAAGATGGTATTTTCTAACATACTTCTTAGTTCTTACCATGGCCATGAGAGTCCTATTTCTTCTCTCAGCAACACCGTTTTGCTAAGGAGTACTCTGTATGGTAAATTGGTTCACAATCCCGTGTTCCTTACAAAACTCAAAGTAAGGACCAAGAGCCTAACCAATATCAGTATGTCTACCATAATACTATAATACTTACCCCCTCGATCTATCCAATCTCACTACCTTTATTTTATGGTCGAGTTAATTTTCAACCTAGGCCTTAAAGGCTTTGAACATGTCAAGTGATTCGGATTTCTCTTTAATTACATACAAATACATATAACGTGAGTGATCATCTATAAAAGTGATAAATGACTTATGTCCTGAAATTCTGGCAGGAAAAGGTCCACAATATTTGTGTGTATAAGTTCCAATTAATTAGAACTCCTTGTGACGCCTCTTATATTTCCCTTTGAATTGCCATTTTTCCTTTAAGGCACTTCACACATGCTCAAAATCGTTGAAGTTGAGAGTTGGTAATACTCCATCCCTCACGAGTCTTAACATTCGATCTCGTGATATTATATGGCCCAAACGTTGATGTCATAACATGGATGAGGTTTCCAAGTCTCGTTTCCTTTTAAGAGAGTTTTCATTGACACTATATGACATCAATGATTTTGAAAATTGGGCGTCCAGGTACAATTTACAAAGTTTTGCATCCAAATAACCATGACTAATAATGTCGAAAACTAAGTTAATGGTGACTTTATTATTACCAAATGTTACATAGTATCCATCATTGTCTAACTTCTGTACATACACTAGATTTTGAGTCATCCTCGGTACATAAAGAGTATCATGTAAGTTAATATGATGGCCACCTTGCATAATTAATTGCAAAGTTCCTACGACTTCAACATTTAGATCATCACCATTCCCGACTTTAATGGTTCTTTGATTTCTTTCCAAACTCTGGATTGTATGGAATCCATGTAATGAGTTTGTAACATGTACCATAGAACCAAAATCAACCCACCATGTGTTTATGGGAACATTAATATTAAAAGACTCATAAATCATAAATAGATGATTACCTTTCTTTTCTAGCCACTCCTTGAATTTTGGGCAGTCTCGTTGGCTATGGCCTTTCTTACGGCAGAATTTACAACGAAAAAGGCCCTTAAGAGCGATAGAGTCAAAAGCCACATTTGCATTTGCTTTGTGGATATTTTAAGCTCTCTCCAATTTTAAACTTGTTTTTTTTTTTTGCTTTTTCCGTTGTGTGTGGTTGTCACATAAGCAACATCGAGCTTTTCAATCTTTAGGTGCTCCTCCTCTTGTACGCACATGGCTATGAGTTCACTCATTTGCCATTTCTCCCTTTGAGTGTTGTAATTTATTTTAAAGGAATCAAATTGTGCAGGAAGAGGGGTCATTATAAAATGCACTAGAAAACCCTCACTTATCTTCATGTCCATACCTTTAAGTTTATAGGGCCATGTCGGTCATCATCGTGATGTGCTCACGCACACCACTCACACCATCATACTTTATCGTCAACATTTTTAGAATCGAAGTACTCGCATGTGCCTTGAAAGTGACTTTAAATTGCTCTTCAACGGAGTTCATATACTCTTTAGCGTATTTTGAGTCAGGTATAGCTCCGCGAATGGAAATTGAGATGAAATTCTTTATGACCATGAGAGACATTCTATTTGATCACTCCCACTGTTCATACACTCGTGTTTGCTCTTGTGAGCTATCATCAGTGAGTGGAGCGGGAGGATCATGCTATAAAGCATAGTCTAAATCCATCATTCCAAGGGTTAATTTGACAATATCTTGCCATGACAAGAAGTTAGTTCCAATCAGAGGTTCAATCCCATAGTTAGGACTTAAATTAGTCGTTGAATCAATGCGATTAGGACATATAAATTTAGAAGAACAAAAGTGAGCTATATAACATATAGGGCAATCACATAAAGTAAGCGTATTGAAGATTAAGTCTATCATAACACCAAAATAGACTAAACTAAGGTCCTACTTGAGTGTTGGATTTGCGTTGGCTACGTCCAATACTTAAGTGTTTCGAACATTTTTATTATTATTAATAAAATATGCCATACAAATATGATTAAATCTGATTAAGTATGAAGAAAAAAATTGTTGTCATCGTTCTTAAATACTTGCATAATGTTGAATGTTACACTATTCACATACTTTACTTTGACAATATTTTAATTACTAATCTATTATTTTTATTTTTAAAAGCACCGTTATATTTTCTTCATTTTAAATTTCCAAAATTTGAATCTTTTTAGTTTTGTACTCCCTCAGTCCCAAATTGTAAGATACATTTACTATTCACTCGGTCAACATAAATCACTCTTAATCTTTTACTTTATATATCAAAAGTTTATGAAATTGGAATTATTTTTTGCAGGTTTTGTAGTAGTTTTAATGTAGTTTCTGAATATGTAAATTTTATTTTCTAAAAATAATTTGAGTGTTGATAGGGATCAATTTGCTTTATCGTCGGTCAAACATCGTAAACCGTAAAGTATCTTACAAATTGGGACGGAGGGAGTAATAGTAAGGAATTAAATTCCACTTCATCTGTCCTTCTATAATTGTCTCATTTTTCCATTCATGGATTTCCCACTATCAGTGTTTCATACCATATTTGATAACATTTGTATGACTCTAATTCATTCTTACTTTATTCCCACTTGATCAACTCATTGTCAACCAAACGCGTAACTTTTTATTCCGCGCAGTACATTGTGTCATAATAAGAAAAGGTAATGTTGGTGTTGTTTTTCTTGTTGTATTGGTTGAAGTTATTGCAGATAATCATTTCAACAATTTTCTCATATTTTCTTCTTTATTTTATTGATAAAAAATATTTTAGATATTTTTTTTTCATAAATCAATAGAATCAGCCAATGCAATCACTTCAGCCAGAACTTCATAAATTAAGCAGAATCAATCCGTTCGGTCAATTTTAGTGTTACCAAATGGGCTCTCAATATCCACTCTAGCTTGAACTCCTTTTTATAAAACTTTAATACGTAGTATAAAAGAAGCCGAAATACATTGTAGACCGTTTGGTCAACGTTAAAATTTACGTAAAGTACTGTACAAAGTATGGAAAAAATCACATTGCTTACCAGCTAAGTCATTACGGTATTTTATAAAAAGAATGCAAAGTATTTTATCAAATGTTTAAAATTGGTTAAAGGGTCAAATAAGCCCTTAAACTGACTTAAAGTGTTCAATTAGCCCCTTATATAGGAGGTTCTGCCCGGCCGTCGCTAATTGGGGCGGTTCCCGGTAGAATTTTTTGATGAAATTTTTTGAGCATCTTCTTCATTAAGTCTAGTTTATCGATACCAAATTTTAGCTAAAAATTCAACCGGGAAGGCAGTCAAATGATTTTCCGAAATGTACTGCGCTGTTTAACTTCGCAGTTAACTTCAAAAAATCATTCGACTGCCTTCCCGGTTGAATTTTTAGTTGAAATTTGATATGAGTAAACTAGACTTAATGAAGAAGATGCTCAAAAACTTTCATCAAAAAATTCCACCAAGAACCTCCCCAATTGGCGACGGCCGGGTAGAACCTCCTATATGGGCTAATTGAACACTTTAAGTCAGTTCAAGCCTTCAAGGGCCTATTTGACCCTTTAGCCTTTAAAATAAATGCATTATAGTTTACATAAAATAAAATCTTGTCCACATTAAAAAGTTTAGTTAATAAAATATTTTGCGATTTATTAAATCAAAAAAGCAGTCTGAATAATGCGGAGTACAATGTTTCATGATTCATTTTTATACTTGACGGAGCTTAGACACAATCTGACAAACCGGCTATCATCAAACCTTGGTTTGGTTAACTGGTTTGTTCATTTTAACGATCATTATCAAAGTATCAAACTCAAACATGTTTCCATTCAATGATAAAGATGTGAATAGTCAAACAAAAAATGTGAATAGTTCATCATCATCTTATTAAGGTGATGAAAAATACATGTGCATTATTGGAAGCCAAAGGGTTGCCTACTTGCCTGTGAAGATATGGGTAGAGACCTAAGAGCACAGGGAAGCAGTTCAGAAGGCTTTGGTATGGCAATTTCGGTCTTGTGGACCTTGTGGTTGGCTCTGCTTGGCCTTAGCTTAATCTCCGCCGTCATATTTTCCTGTTCCGATGGTAAACCTCCCAAAAGAGACCCTGCTGGCAATACAAATTATGTCGATAGCACCAACTTTGGGGGAGCATGCGGAGGTTGTGGTGGTTGATGATGCACACATACTTTGATGTTGGCAATATGGCAAAGAGCTGTACTTCACCCTTCATCCCCATTTATCTTATCTCTTTCTTTTTTCTAGTCTATCTCATTATAATTCTCATGTTTCCAGTTTTAGACTTTAGTGACCTTTTTTTGTACGGAATTGTAATGAAGCCCATACTTGTAAGTTGTAAAGGTCAAGCCGAAAATATTAAAAAGGGAATGATGGAGTAATAATATACAACGGTGATTCTTTATTTTCTTTTCTTTTTAAGTTTCCATAGTTTCATGTCTAACAATGGAGTAAAGATGAAATTACACATCTAACTAAAACCGCCAACACTGTAGTATACTAGTATTAGATAATAAAAAACAGTAGTTGGAGTCTTGGAGTCCATATAAACATGAGTACTGCCATGTTGACATGATCGCCCAATGAGTCCATAATCTTACGTGTTGTTTCTCTATTTTGTAAGTAATGAGCTTTTTCACACCCCTCGGCTTTTCCTGATTTCTGTTGATGAAATATCCATACGGAATTCTTCTGCTGGTATTGAGATAAACATGTCTTTCAGCTCCTCTGGAATTTCAAAGTCATCAAGCACCTGGAAAGTTCAGGCAGTGAAGGAGTGTGTTGCTTTCATGAGCCTTCGAGTTTCGGGAACTAAAATGGGCACGAAATTAAGATGACCAAAAAGGAGATCCCTGCATACCTTGAAAACGCCATCCACATTTCGGCCTCCCACCAGGAAGATACACCCTGTATTCTTGCATCCAATAAGTGTCTCCAACATGTTTTGATAGTCATTTCTGTAATACTTTGGCTGGAAAATAGTCATATCCTAAGTAAGTTTGGTACAGGCAAGATCTACCATATTTGCATTGTTGTAAACAAACCGCCAAGCCTCTATCAACGTAGGATTAGCCACTAGGCTTTGTAAATAATCTCAAATCAGATCACTAATAATAATACGGTACAGAGCAACAAGCCAGCAATATATGAAAAGAAGCATGTACAAGATTAGTGAAGTAAAAGGACTATCTTCTAAAGGCAATTTGAAAGCCCTTACATTTATAAGCCTAGCAGCCGTATCTGCGCCAATAACAAAAGCACTGCCAGGGAAAAGTTCTGCTTTTTTGTAAAAATATGGCTGGTTAGATATTATGACTGTCTTGCCTGCAACATCATGAATTTTTCATTAATACTGAGAATGTGTTGCAAACTAGAATGGAAAAGCACTAATGCACACTGTAGAGATATTAGAATATTTAGTTCATTATTATGAGATTTGTCTTGATCATAATCTGATTTCCTCCTGATCATAATCTGATTTCCTAGAATCAAGTAGGAGATTTGTATTAATTAGAAGATCCTGCACACAATTACTCTTTCCTTTATTAAGTTAGCCTAGGCCTATAAATTGTATTCAGCTGTTGTATTTATAATCAATGAATAAACTCTATTCTTCATGTTGGTATCAGAGCCAATTCCGGTTGTGGTTTGAAGGCTTGTTTAGCACTCATGATTAAGGGTAGTTTGTTAAGGGTTTGTTTGGCCCGTTTAAATCCCCAATATAGTCCAGCCCAGTTCGGGCTGAGGAGGCGTGTTAAAGCATTTGTCCCACACCGGAAAGCTATAAAACAATTAAACACTATATAAGGCTTTGGGCTACTCCTCCTATAAGGTTGACCTTTTAGGATGGAACCCCGAATCTTAACACACACAAAAGTATGATCTTAGCATGAATGCAAATAATATCTATACAAGTCTGCTAACATATTTGCTTTGACAGAAATCAAGAAAGATATTATTGGCAAATCTAACAAGATCACTGTAGTACCACTGTCACCATGGAAACCACAAACCCGTTCTAACATCAAGCACCCAAAACAATAAATGTGGTATATACACTAAAGTGGTTGTAACTTGTAAACTAAAGCTTGAAGACCCCATCAAAAGACGGGGGGGGGGGGGGGAGGGGGGAGGGGGGGGAGCGTGCTTACACACACAGCAAAGCTAAATATGGGGAAAATAGTGATATTACATACCATTCCTTCACAGATCACATAACTACTAGTCTACTACATCAATGGCACTCACTCAAATACGAAGTATCACTTACCAAAACATGCCAAAATGTGTACAGTTACATTTGAAACTAAAAGAACTTGAGGCTTTGAGTAAAAATACAACAACAACAACAACAACAACCAAGCCTTAGTCCCAAAAGAGTTCCGGGTCAGCTAACATGAATCGACACATGAAATTCGGAGCTAAAAGACAACTTAGAAAACTTTATTGTTTCCTTGAATATGTGTAAAGGTCTAAAGCAACACATATATATGAATTGAGGGAGTATTAAAGTTGAATGCTTAATTCTGAAATATTTATCATAAATACAATGATAAATGTAAAATTGTCTGTACTCACCGACATTTTTAAACTGTTTTACACGATCTTTGATTTCCGAAACTGTCAATGGAGGCTTGTCTGCATTGACTGCAGACAATTCAAAGCATGGATATCCACCGCTACAAATCCTGCAAGCAAACGGTGGTTATCTGCACTTAGAAGGTAACCTGAAATTCTGAAAATGATGACACCTTTTACTTAATGAATTAACTATAATAATGTTATAACAAATATTGCATAACAAAATTCGTTTTCTTGAAACATTTCTTTATCTAAAGAACCCATTCTAATCTCAGAACCCATTCACTATTGTACCTAGCCTTCTTAAGATTATTTAAAGAAAAGCATAAGATCCTAAATATGTGGAACAGTCTTAATAACCCTCTTAACCAATTGACAGACAGTTTCTAAAACAATCTTTAGGTGTTGGTGAATGTACCTAGTTGCAACTTCCAAGAGATTAAGGTGACCATCATGCAAGGGGTTGAAAGAACCAGACAGGATTATTTTCCTCTCTGCTTTGACTAGATCTGCCAAAGATTTCTCTTATGAACTGCAAAAGGTAAATATGTAATTTAATATATAAGCAGGGAAGACGTACCACTTGAAAAAGGATAAACCTTAAAAGATACTTGACCACTGATAAGCTGCTCCAGCTCTTGGTCTTCATTAAATTGCCAACCAAGCTCAACAGGAATCTCCGATTCCGTTAAATCTGGAACAAAATTATTTGAAGCCATGCATGCACTTGCAACTGCCTACAAGCAAACACGTTTGTAAGTGCAATTCCTTAATCGTAAAGAAATCATCAAGAGATTCACTAGAAAAATGAAACACGGAAGAGATTGCGAAATATGATATTGACAACAGCTAAGGACCAAGGCCACAGGTAATTGCATTGAGATTTCATAAGGGCATTTGATTTTATTTGAAAAAGCAAAAATAATGTCATGATAAATCAGAAATTTTACATCACAAAATAAAATATAAAAGCATAGGAAACAACACAATAACTCCCAGTCATTGCATTATTACACATGTAAAGCTTAAAAGACATGAACTGAAGAGTGGTGACTATGGAAGAGGAAATTATCAAATGTCAGACACTAAAACTGAATAATTGAAGCCCCACAAAGTTATGAAATATTGCCGATATACTCATAATCTCATATACTGAGTTGAATCTTATTTTAGTAGTAAACTAGTAACCCTTTTTATGAGAGCGCATAAGGCAGAACAGTAAAAGACTATTTTGTGAATTCCATGTTTTTTGTATCTCCACAAAAATCATGAATATTAATTAATATTCAAATGAAAAAAATTCCTTAAATATATCTCATTATCTACTTATAGTCCAGTATTTGAGAATAAGCAAGTCAAAATATGTGGGAATTTGGTATGTGGAGCTCTTATCGGTGGACAATTAAATCAAAATAAAGCTGTCCTATGCTTTCAGAGCTAAATATTTATAGCCAGGACTATTTTCCCTTTTTAAACATCAGAGAGCAATGTCTTCATTTCATGATGTAGGCTATTAAATTAGAATTGCATTATTCACACACCTTAAGTAAGAACTGGCTTGAGATAAAATCTTCTTGCTCACGTGTTCGCAGACCCTAAATAAACACATTGGTGAAAACAAAAATAAGACCTTCATGAATCAGGTCCAAGGCTCAAGTATCCACTAGTAAAGATGGGATTAAATAGTAAGAAACATAATACCTTCGACAATGTGACTGTTGACACCACTAGCCTTTCAGATGTCCTTGTTGACAAATGAAACCTTCATAAGGAACAAGATGAACTCAATAACTATGGAATTATTTCCAAGATAAACATATATGATACTTGAGCAACATGTCAGTTTGAAAATATAAAGTTAGTAACGCATATCCAGAAAGAAATAGAGGTAGCACTAACAATCAGATTTTTTTAAATTTTAGTTTGAGCTTTTGCCAAGGTTTCCCAGGACTGAAAGCTCAGAGCCTCAGGCTGAAAAACCAAATTTTGATAATAACTACTAAATGACATCCTAATATTTTTTAACGATACACACATACAAATCATTTTTTATACACATACAAATCATTAGGGATTCCATCATTTGCAATGGAGCCAAAGAATCACTATTTTTTGGTTTGGGAATATGATGGAATAAAGCAAAATGGCTCACTAAACTGTCTTCGCTTCTTTGTTATGAAGCATCAGTCAGTCCATGAAATTTTCGACGCAATTTTCACTATGGGTCATCCGGAAACGGTCTCTCTGTGCTTTAGTACAGGGGTAAGACTGCGTACATCTGACCCCCCCTACCCCACCGTAGGTGGGAGCCTTTGAGGCACTGGGGTAATGATGATGAACAAATGATGATGAGACAAAGGCATAGGTTTAGTGCTTTACTATTCCTGAGTTTCAGAATAATATTTCACAAGATTTGAGCTGTGCTGCAAATTAACCTACTTGAATTCAGAGTTCTCAACCACTTTGGTGCAGCATTATCTCTTCGCTAGTACCAAATATATTGTTTGTTTAGGTTGAGAAAGAATGGAGAATGTTGATATATATCTCGTGTGTTGGAATCTGGCACAAAAGAGAACAAAAACAGTCTGCTACAATACCGTGTGACATAAAACATGTACTATCGTACTATGAAACAATGTGTTACAAAATGTTATGACTACTAATCTATTATAGTTCTGACTTCTGACTATAATTCAGCACATTCAATAATTCTTTCCATTTAAATATAAGATGACAATTATAAAACTAAATGTAACTAGATTTTCTTTTCATATGGTTTTCATTCTTTTATTATTTGTGACCAAGGATGAAGATCTAATGGATATATCGGTATAAAAAATGCTTGGTGTACACATTTTTAGTGTAGCATGACTCTATTGGTGCCTCTAGTTTATGAAAATGCCCTATGGTTATATTGAATGTGGATATCAGCAACAATTTTAGTGCGACAGAATTGTTATTAAAAACTTGAAGTTTTATAATGATAATATATATCTTGGAAAGTTCCCGAAATAAGACTGCCAAAAACATGGAAGTAATTAGTCTTATTTTGGGAATAAAAACATGGTAGTCCTATTTTGGATTTTCTAACTTTTTTACTCCTATTTCGGGTAATATTCTCTCTCTCTCTCTCCATGTATATATATATATATTATAGTAAGAGACCGTTTGGTAATACCCAAATCTGCAGAAATTTATGATATTCTGGCGGAAGTGGCTGATTCTCCTGATTTATGGGGGGGAATATACTTCCTCCTTTCTTTTTTAATTGCAACACTTCCATTTTCACGTTTGTCAATGCACAACTTTAACCATTAATATATTTAATTATCCAATTGTAGGAATTTCAAAAAAATCACATTTTGAAAATTTGAAGTGAGAAGAGTTTAATTATATTTTTTTAAAAACAAATAATTTATTTGTAAATAAAATATAATCAAAGTAGATCATGTAAATAGTGAAAAATTCCTAATGTTGCAACTATTTAAGAACGGAGGTAAGTATTTTATTAATAAAATAAAGAAAAATTATATGAAAAAACAGTTAAAATGATCCTCTACAGTAACTTCAACCAATACAGGCAAAAAAGTAACTCCAACCTTACTTTTTCTTATTATTACATACTTCAGCGTGTGAAATCAAAAGTTATGAGTTTGGTAAAAAAGTTGGTTGGAAAGTCTGATATGCCAAAAAAATAGGGTCACTAAATGGGCTCTAAATGTTACTACATCATTTTGGCTAGGTTGTTCTACCAAACTATAAATGCATAACGAACTTATACTACCTTAGTGCATGTGATCCAAAAAAGGAGCAAAGTTTGAGCAGAACACAACTGTTTAATGTGGGTAAGGTACAGTTTCTATAAGTCATTAGGCATATTTATAAAATTTTAAAATATGCTAGTTTAATAAAGTTTCGTATATTTAAATTGTTCGAGAGTCACAACACCTTTTTCAAAAATCTCATGAAAAGTTAATTGTTTGACGAAACAAGACTCGGTTTGTAGAAAAGAAATTATTTGTGATGCTGCACTCTCTCTTTTGGGATGGAGGACGTACATGATAATTGAAATGTCTTCTGCAAATACAATAATAAATTGCTAGTGAAAATTGAACTCAGGCTCTTATAGAATTATAGGTTCAACTTTCTGTTATGGACAAATTTTGGGGTCAAAAATATCAAAGGCACAGGGTGGGCCAAAGGGGTGCTCAAATATATATCTTGATATATGTTGATATATGTTGATGATATATTAGTCATTGGAAATCAACCTACTGTCATCAAGCAACTTATTCATAAGCTTGACTCCTCTTTTTCTCTGAAGCATCTGAGAGACCTGGACTTTTTTCTGGGAATTGAGGTACATAAACTCTCTGATGGTGGTCTGCATCTATCCCAGAGTAAATATATCAGGGATTTGCTTCATCAAACAGGGATGATTGACTCTAAAGGAGTAAAAACACCCATGGTAAGCACATGCAAACTTACTCAAGAGGGCAGCAATTATCTTCCCAATCCTTCCTATTACAGATCTATTGTGGGTATCTTACAGTATGCTACATTGACTAGACCTGAGATATGCTATGCTGTAAACAAAGTCTGTCAATTTATGGCCAATCCTTTGCAAGAACACTGGCAGGCAGTGAAACATATTCTAAGATATCTGTCAGGCACCATTACACATGGTCTGCTAATCAAACCTCTTCCTTTATCCTCCATACCCCTTCCCATCTCAGCCTATTGTGATGCAGACTGGGCATCACACTGACAGAAAATCTACATCTGGCTCTGGTGTTTTTCTTAGTCCCAACATCATTTCATGGTGGTCAAGAAAACAACTTAGAGTTGCAAGATCTTCAGCTGAAGCAGAGTATAGGAGCCTTGCTGATACTACTGCTGAACTATTATGGATTCAGTTTCTCCTTAAAGAACTTCAAGTTCCCTTCTCCATTCCTAAAGTCTACTGTGATAACCTCTAACCTCAGTACTGTTCAACTTGCTCATAACCCTGTTCTACATTCCCGGATCAAGCACATGGAGATAGATCTCTTTTTTGTCAGGGAGAAGGATCAGTTGAAGCAGCTGCAAGTTTATCACATTCCCTCCCAATATCAAGTTGCTGATATTCTTACCAAACCACTGCCAAGCTCCACTTTTGTTGCTCTAAAAGACAAACTTAGTGTGATTGATACCTCACAATAAGTTTGAAGGGGGGAATGTTAGATATACTCTAGTTAGTCTGTTAATACATCTTGTATTAGTTAAGCTACTGTTAGAGCTTCGGTTACAGTTATTGAGTTTGTTAGAGACTTAACCGACTCTATATATACTTGTAATAGCTGCTTGACTTGATCAATAATACATTCTGATTTCCTCTCAATCTCTCTCCTCTATATTTTCTAATAAGCCCAATGAAGCCACTGAAAGTGGCTGACTTTGGGAGCAAGTTTCTTTATTTACTTTACCGTCTTTAATTCAGTTTTAGCAAGTTTCCTAATTCAGTTTTAGGAAGTTTCGTAATTCAGTTTTAGTAAGTTTCATTTATTCTCTTTTAGGACTCTTGTCTGACCTATATATATATATAGGGGTCCTCAGTTGATGTAAGGGAGGTTTTTTGCAGAACAAATTATTGTGACTTGAGTCTCTTGACAAGGTCGGGCACTGAATTAATCCCAAAAAATATTTTATTTTCGTTCTCTCTCTCTCTCTCTGCTCATCATAGATCTGAAAATTTATTCATCTCTTCACTTGAATTCTATTACGTTGTCTCGTTCTCGACCTTGGACGAGATCGTGTACGCGCTCTTAACACTTTCTTATTACAAAAAAGGGAATGTGAATATGTGATATTACATTTGTAGAGAAAAGAATAATATTAATACCAACTACCATATTGGATTAGTTATGATTTATGAATGAGGAACACCAGGTCATACACTCTGCACCAAGGTAGTCAAAATCGAGCGCTTCAGCGCTTAAGCGCACCAGGCGCAGCGCAGTAGAGGTCCAACGCTTGAAAGATGACCAGGCGAACCCTCCTGTCTCAGGCGCAGCTTAGGCGCATAAAGCGCAGAAGCGCCGTAGCGAGAAAAGCGCACGCTTTAGTCGCCTGGGCTGGGAAAGGTTTATTAGCCTATTTTTTTTTTGTTTGATCCTATTTTAAATAATAAGCCCATACTAATAATAAGATTTAGCCCGTCCAAATAATAGGTAAACACAACTTAAACCCATATTAACCCCTTCATAGTTGTGGGAAAAGTCTTGCGCAACATGCTTAGCGCTGAAAAACATTCAGCGAACCCACAGAAGCCAGAAAATCCATAAGGTGTCTTCTTCATCATAATCTTCACATGCTCTTTCTTCTTTTTGAGCTTGTAGTTTTCATTTATTTTGTCATCTTCTTTGTGATCCTTTCATTTTGTTCTTTCAGTCTATCTTCTTTCTTTACTTTTATTAGTTCCAGTCATTTATGCCTACTTTAAGGTTCTTTTTGCTTCTAATATATGCTATACAACTCAACATAATATGTGTACCTGACCTACCAGTTTTCATGTGAACATCATTTTATTTCATCTTATTATACAGTATAACTGTATATCTTCCTAGTATCATTTCATATTTTAACTGTATAAAAACTTCATATAATATAACTCAGTCAATAGTTTCATACACTACATGATTTATGTTATCCCTAGTGCTATTGCAAAATTAACCAACGTTTGCAATTGCGCAATGCAATTGCGCCTCATGGCGCGCCTCTGTGATTTCGTGGCTATGGCGTAAAATTGCATTGCAAATTGCGTCCAGGTCTGTAGCGTAAGTTTTCATCGTAAATGCGTACGCTATATTGCGTACGCAACGAGGCGTAGGTATGGCGTACGCAATATATTGATCGATGGGTTTTTTTTGGCCTGCCGGGCCCAGTTTTTAGTAAAATAGAAACCGACATACGGTATATGGTATTATTATATATACGGCCTCGAGCCTTCTCCCCAGCTATTCTCTGCGCAATTCATACGCAATAAGCCAATAACCCAGTTCTTTACACCGCCTGCTTTCCGTTTGGTTGCTTCTTCAGCCTTCAGGCTTCAGGCTTCTACGGTACTGCTTCTCTCTTTGATGATTTGTTCTTGTTTCTATTGAATTTTTTTGGGTTACAGTTTCTATTGAATTTAATATTAAATATTAATGTTAATTTTCTGCTTATTAATACTTCATGTTTTCCTGCGGTTATGTAATGACAACTTGATTAACTTCATGATTTTCCGTTTATTAAAATATAAGTAGGACTCGTGTAAATTAAATATTATTAATATATTATTATTTTTATAGGTGATTCATTAATATACAATCACGGATGGGCACTGGCTTTGATGCGACAAATGTTAAAACGGGATCTTATACGTCCAGCTGCCACCAGATTTGCTACTGCATACCTTACGTTACAAAGCATGCACAGTTCAAAAGTTCAAAAGACGAGCTGGAAGAAATGTTTGTATCTAAGGAATGGTCATCTCATCACATGTCTAAATCCGCAGAAGCAAAGAAGGTGAAACAAATTGTGTTGAGGGACAATTTTTTTTGGCCAAGCGTGGTGTATGCAATCAAAACAACAAAGTCGTTGTTTACTGTGTTGAGGATGGCAGACTCAGAAAAGGTCCCTGGTATGGGGTTTTTATATGGTTCCATGGATCAGGCAAAAGAAGAGATAGCTAAGAACTTGGGCGGGGACGTGGCTGCATATAAAGAGATTTGGAGCATAATCGATGAGAAGTGGGAATTCAGATGCATTGTGATTTGCACGCAGCAGCTTATTATCTCAACCCCCATTACCAATATGATCCCAATATGTCCAATCATCCGGAGATTAAGCTTGGTTTGTTTAATTGTGTGGCAAAAATGTTTCCAGCCCGAGAAGATCAGGAGAAGATACATTTGCAGATGGATGATTATCGTTTGAAAAGGGGATTCTTCGGTCATGATGTAGCGAAAAGCACGGTTGATAAACGTAGTCCTGGTATGCAAAGTTTATTGATATTTTATCCTTTAATTTTTTTTACAAATTAATAATTTTAATTATGTTAATGTAGTGGACTGGTGGTGTCAATATGGCGATCAAACACCTGAATTAATGGCTTTTGTTGTGAGGGTGTTGAGTCTTACATGTTCATCGTCTGCTTGTGAGCGTAATTGGAGCACGTTTAACCAGGTATTAAATCACTATATAAAGAATTAGTATAAAATACTAGTTAATTAAGTAAATAATAAAGTTTAACTACTATGCTTGTAGATACATACTAAGAGAAGGAACCGTTTGCATACACATAATTTGAACAAGTTGGTGTTTGTGATGTATAACAAGAGATTAAAGACAAAGTGGATGAAAAAACATCACTTAAAAAAGACATTGATCCTTTAGTGATGGATGAGATTCCATCAGATGATGAATGGGTGATTGATAAAGATGAGACAAATCCTAATGATGTTGCTTGCGATGATGATTCTGATGGTGAAGCTAGTGCTGGACGTTCTTCAAGTCAAGAACTTGTTCGTGGTAGTGGAAAGGGCCGCGAACAAGGACGGTTGAGAGGAAATAGTCAAGGTCAAAAAAGAAAAGCGTCTTGATAAAGGAAAAGGAAAATTGCACTTGATCGATGAAGATGAAGAATTGTTTGGTCATGATACTGATTTTGATCTTGACCTTGATGAGGATGAGGATGAAGGAAATATTGGTGGTTATGATCCTTATTTCAGACCACTAGATAGTGATGATTCGATTTTCCAATCATCAATCTAATATGTTTAGGATTATTTTATGACGTTTCAGACATTTTTGCTATTATTTAGGATTATTTTTCCTAAGATTGTTACAACATTATGATTTGTTTTAATATTGCATTTGCTGGTTTCTCTTGAATAATGTTTTTGTTATATATATATATATATATATATATATATATATATATATATATATATATATATATATTTATAATATAAATATAATTATATATATACATATATTTACACCTTAGCTATACGCCTCATTGCGCAATGAGGCTTACGCAATATGCAATTCTGAAAAACCGCCATAGTTACGCAATACGCAATTTCGAACATTGAAATTAACAAAGACAGACCCAACTCAGTGTTTTGTTTTTGTGAATCATGACATTATTTTGGTGAATCATGACTTTATTTTTTAGAAACATGACTTTTTGATACATTTAGTTAAATATGGTGTTGAATATGTCATATTGGATCACTCTAGAATAGTATACATAATATTTTCTAAATAGTGCGCTTCATCCGAGTAAGGCGAGCGCTTTTTTGCGCCTTGCTCCTCAGGCGATAGAAGTACTCTAGCGCCTTAAGTGCGCCTCGCGAATTTGACTACCTTGCTCTGCACTCATATAGAATTAGAATAACATAAATTATTTTATTATCATTGTATAAATATTTTAGTAAATACATTAAATTTTATAAATATTTAAGGAAATGAATATGGAAGCACTCAGAAACTTTAGGTTGGTCTAGTGCTTCTACGTTATGGTAAATGAGTTCTTGATTTATGGTCTATAGATTTTTTTTTTGGTTAATTGGTAATAGTTCTGGTAAATTAATGGATAAGTTTTGTGCGTTTGACATTTTCTCTTTGTGACAATAAACAATAACTGTATTATTAATAAATTTAAACTAACTTGAAAGGACAGAATTAAAATGTTAAGCAAGCAACCACTTCAAGAAACAATGGAATGACATGATATAAAACTTTAGATGCAAAGCAATAAGTACCTATGATCCCCCCGTTTGGGTTGTGAACTGGCCAGAGCACCTGTAAAACCCACACCTAGAGCTGGACATCCTATGTAAGGAAAAGTTCAACAGAAAGGATGCAGGTCACAGAGCAGTTCGTTAAATACTGAAATTTCATCCATTTTATCTCAAAAATATGTTCAGACAATGAGATTTTCGCATCATTCCTAAAATATAACCGATAAGGAAAAGCACCTATGCAATTAGTCATATGTGAATTTATAGGACACAACAACAATAACCGGAAAATGTTTCTTTCCTGACACTATCAGTCACACAAGATCATAGCTATCACGAGGGATGCTAAATATTTGAAAAGAGCTATACAGAAAGTTAATGCTAACCATTGTTTCCAAGGATCATGCAGCTAGTTATGCAATTCTGTTTCTTATTCATTTTTCAGTGAAGGAACGACTTACTCACTTACAAGTAAGTTCGATCTAATCCAGAACAAAGCCAGATTTTTACATAAATTGTATGATGAAAGAAAACGTATACAGGTGAGGGCAACACTCCCCCTTTCATATATGGACGACATCACCATAGCAGTGATCAATGATCACTTGAACATGTATTCACATAAAAATGCATCACTGACTAAGCATCAAGCCTAGTACATTACATCATCACACAACCCAAACTTTATGACAGCCAAACTAAAACATGGAGAAATGGATAGCAAAAAAGAGACACACAAGGCTTAATCTTTGAAGCTCCAGCCACGAGAAAAAAAAAAAAAAGTACCTGGTTTAGAAAGCTTTAGTGCTCGATTGTAAGCCAGCAATGCCATGTCCTCTGCGGTTTGCAGACTAGCAGATTGAGCAGGGACCTGTCAATATCCGTACATTAGATTCAATTGAAAAAAAAAAGTAACCCCCGCCCCAAAAAAAATCCACCATTTTGCTAAAACGATGGGGAAAAGGGACAATTTAACATAATCGAACCGACCTTGCCGAGCAGTTGGACCATAGACAGTCTGGAGTAAGGAACCACGGCTTCAAGTACAGTGTTGGAGGCCCCGGGAACCGACATCAACCACCCCAGCGCCTATTCAAATTCGAGTAAGCAATTCGTCAAACACACGATATGTCTGAACACAAACGAGTACTTAAAGGATGCAGGCACCTGAGAAGCTCCGCCGGAGACGTAGAGGACCGCTTGAGTGGGAGTAGAGTGTATGGCTTCCACCAGAGTTCTCATACAACTGTCAGCCATCATTGCCGGCTATGGAACGATCGGTAAGGTCGATTTTGACTAATTGCGATTTGCTATGACTAATTGCGTCTTGCATGGGATTAGCTTTCTTGGATCAAATAAATTATGGAAGTGTTTGGGATTCCTTTTATTTTTGTGAGTGATTTTATAAGTAATTTTAGGGGAAAAAAATAATAATAACAAAATTAGTAGAATTTGAAGAAAAAAAAAACTTTTTTATCGTCAAAACAAATGGCTAAAATTGATATCACGGCATATAGAGAGGGGTAAAACGACAAAAGAACTACAAGCAACTGTCAGCCCTCGAACCAGACTTAAAGTCAATTACTTCCAAAAAAGCAATATAAGAGCCCGTTTGGTAGCACGAAATTCGACTGATTTGGCTGATTGCTGAAATTTATGAAGTTCTGGCTGAAGTGGCAGCATTGGCTGATTCTACTGTTTTAAGAAAAAATCATTTTTTAAATATATTTTATTAATAAAAAAAATTATATGTAAAAATAGCTAAAATGATCATCTACAGTAACTTCAGCCAATACAACCAGAAAAGTAACTTCAACCTTACTTTTTCTGCTTATTACACAATTCAATGCGCGAAAGCAAAAAATACGTGTTTGGTGAAAAAGTTGGCTGATAAGCATAATAAGCCGAAAAATAATGTTGCCAAATGGCTTCTAACTCGATGATCCTATAATGGGCATGAATGAGCCAACGATGGTTAAAGAAGACCTCCAATCACTCAATCCAAATGCAAGAGTCTTACAACCATAAAAGTAACCAATTGAAAAAAACATTCTCATCATGAAAAATAAATAGCAAGCAAACAATAAAATTAAAATATTGCTTCCAAACTCTAAACTTTCCTACACTCCATGGCAGCGGTTCAAGAGGGAGACGGTCCAACAGTACTGAAGCATCTTCTACTCCTTGCCTCCGGTCCATATATATTTTTTCCAGCCCCTAGCCCCACGCTTCGTCCATGACCTTCTCATATGAACCATGAACGGCTTCCTCAAACTTCTTTACCCGCTGCTAGGGTTCTTTGACTGTCATATAGGCGTTGCAGTCTGCCGAAGAAGAAAGCCTCACGAAAGGCGGACGAAAGTCGCACAAGAAAGGCGCACTTCGTCGAAGACGAAAGTGGAGAAAAACTACCCTAACCCTAGGGGAGACGGCCGCCTAGAGAGAAGCTATTAGTAGATGAAAAAATAAATTTTGATAAATCAAAAGTTCATGGTGTTTAGTAAAAAATGTTTTTTGTATAATAGAAAAAATGAAAAGTAATTTCAATCACTTTTTCACCCACTTTTAACTTTTATCCACTTGAAAGTAAAAAAACAAACACTGAAATGATTTTTTTATTTTTTTAGTTATAAGCAAGATTGGTAGAGAAACCAAATGCCCTAAATCGTGGTTTTTTGGGCCTAATGCTTTTCATTTTGCAAGCTTTTTTATAGTCATAACGAATGTGACATGGAAATTCTCAGATAAGAGTAGGTTTCCATTTCGGAAACTCTACAAAAACGCTTTGGAAATTCTCCAAACAAGACTTTTTTGAGCAAAAGTTGACGTTCCTCATTTTCTGTTTTCTCATAATCTTCGCGTTCTTTGCAACATAAGTCATAGGTGAATTAGTTTCTACATTTCATTAACTAATAAATGAAGTTGGAAAACTCCAAATAAGTAATACAGAATGTGTAACGATAAATCAGGATCAACATTAAAATATTTGTTATGTCTCTTAAAATTTTGTCAATTTTCCTTTTTTGTTGTCACACTAACTTTGCCACTTTCCCTTTTACATAAAAAAAAAATTGTTCATATTAATTCTCTCGCTTTTGCACAAACTTCAACCACACAATCTTTATTTTAATAATCATTGTGTCGTCAAGCTTGGTCAAGTTTTAAGGGATGAAGGGAATAGAGTGAATACCAATAAGTAATCTATGGCTCGAGCCAACTAAAAATCTTGCGTCCTGATTTTCATCCCCGATAAATGTGCTCAACCTTGATCATCCAATTTCGAGCTAACAACTCGCAAAACTTTGCAACATCATAGGAGCGCTGGTGTGTGCGGGGCTCACATTCCGCCATCAAAAACTGAATCGCAGCATGTGAGTCCAGCTAGACTCATACATGACGGTACCCAAACTCACGAGTGAACTGTAATCCTTGCACGGTAGCTCTCAATTCTGCCCTACTGATCGAGCGAATCCCCATATTCATTGAGTACGCTGCTAAGCAACGACCATCAAAATCAGAGATAAACCTCTTGCATGCACCTCCACGCCCCGTCTCAGGAATAACCGACTCTTCAGAATTTGGAGCAACCCACTAAGGTAGTAAGGTAGCGGTGACAGCCAAGAGATCCATCACCATTCTGGTGGGGTACGTGGACCTATAAACTGGTCATGTATCAAGGTCTCCTCAATAGTCTTCACCCAGTGTAAATATGAGATAATTATCCTAGGAATGACTAAAACTTACTCACTTTCTCAATCTATGACCTAACTAGTCTTTTTACCAAAATAATATTAAAATTGATAATTTTAATTAAAATTCAGAATAATTAAATAAATAAATAAATTTGGTGGACAAATATACCTTTTGAATTATATCTATAAAATTCTAAGCTCCAACTCTTTTCTCCAACCCTAGCTTTTAGTCCTCCGCCTCCATCCACAGATCAACGTCTCCTACGCCCAGCCGCACACCCCTCGCTGCCACCAGCCGCCACCGGCCGCCGGCCGCCGGCCAGCCACCTGCCGTCCAGCCACCCGCCGCTAGACCCCTGCCGCCGCCACTCCACGGTTCGCTGCTGTCAAGGAGCACAATCGCCGGCACTAGTGCATCAACTCGCTTCTTGCCCGACCACCCCGACCCCAGGCTTCCTCGGCGCCACTGCCCAGATCTACCCCGACGCCACACCGCCTTCCTAGATGTGTGCGCCGCCGCCATTCCTAGATGCGTGCGCCGTCGCCATTCCTAGATGCGTGCGCCGCCGCCACCCCAATCCATGCTTGCTGCCACCCCAAGCCATGCTTGCTGCCGTCCGGATCCATGTTTGCTGCCGCCTTCAAGGCCGGACCATCAACGACTCTACCGAAGAGGGGAGCTCGTACACAGAGGGTAAAGAGTCCATTTATGTGGACGAAAATGTATATGTCCTCAATTTAATTTGGAAGGAAGGCCCTGCATTTTATGTGGACAAGGATACTGCACGAATTGACGTTTTTTAATCGGGAGAGCTATTATTCTTTAAACTTTTTACTTCTTATTTGTGAAGTTAAGGCTTTTGGGTATTGATTATGATTTGTGGGCATTAAATATGGCATTTAATATCGACATTGAACGTTTCGTTAAATGTTATGTATGAGCAGTGAATATATATGATAATAAACATGTTGTATATGACAGTGAATGAATGCATTAAAAAAAAATTGTGCAGTGATTATGGCCAGTATTGTAGTAACATAGAGCAGTAGTATCATCATGAAATGCAATATACTTAATTAGACGTAAAATAATAAAATTATTAAATCTAAAAAAGCCAAAAAAAAAACCTAAAGTGAATGAGAAGAGAATTAATTTTGGCGGAAGTGCAATGATTATTACTGGATGTGCAATAAAGTCGTGCATTAATGTAGTGCATTAACGGTAATATAAGGTGCAGTAATTTAATTGAAGAAAATTAGTGCAAAATACACATTTTTTAAATAAGGGTATTTTCGTCATTCAACTTTTAAAAACAAACGAATTTTTTTTTTTTTTTGGATTTTTAGTCATACAAAAGTAAAAAAACTAGTTAGGTCATAGATTAAGAAACTCATTGAGTTTTAGTCATACCTTAGTAAATTTCCAGTGTAAATATAGCTTCACTCTTTGTTTTCCAAAGAGACTAGCACGCAACCTCAAAGAGAAGACTAGGAAACTACTACTCTTTTCCTTTAGATGATGTGTGATCCAAGGAGGAAGTGGGGAATCCCTGTTCGTCCAAAGTAGGCAAGATGCTCACTGATGGTAACCGCAAAAGGACAATCCCATAACATTTGCGGAAACTGTTTCCTGGTGTTCATTACAATGTAAGTGATGCCTTCTGCCGAAATATATGTGTCTTCTTTCTTCATTAATTAATAACTGTTTGTGCGTCATGAGTCAAAGGAAATGTCTAATACGATTGGGCCACGCCAATGTCAAACCACTCTTTAGTCTGGTCCTTTGTCTCTGTTAATCTACCCATCAAGGAGAGTGCATGTCGACCGAATTCTGAAAGAGCCATCCTTCTCAAGACCCCAAATAAGAGCATCAACTCCACTACAGGTCGAGGGATGACATACCTGCAATATGCAACACCAAATTTTCCAGAAGCAAGGGAAGAATAAGAGGAAAATCCCACTCACCATAAGCTATGCAGAACTGAGCCATGGGGGCCAAGAAGTCTAGCTTTGGAGTAAAATGAAGAATATGGTCGATCAATTTCTCGCCCTACTCCAGCCAATGAGTACTCCAGAAAACTGTGTTGAGGTCATCCTGGAGTCCATCCCTCATTCCAATCTCCACCATAAGTAGGGTTGCCAATCCTACGTCCAATCACCGATTTGGAAAATGAATGTCGCAGTCAAGATCACGTATACGCCCATGTTTGGATATTGACGTCTTAGGCCCAAAAACATATGGCCCCTACGCCTCCCGCTTATACTTTGTTTGGAGAACCTCCACCCACAATTCATTTGGTTTAGTGAGGAACACAAATCCAATTTTACTATATAGGCTTGATTAAGCTGTCTGGCTGAGCGTAGCCCCAAACCACCCTGTTGTTTCGCCCGACATATAGCATCCTAAGAGAGGAGGTGAGTTTTCATCTCTTCTTAGGTGGTACCCCAAACCAAATTCTTGATTCTCTTATCAATTTCACTTCAAATATCACTCAGAAGCATCAAAGTTTGCTTGAAATAATCAGGAATTGCAAATAACATAGCTAGGGCAAGAGTAACTCATTCTACAAGAGCGAGCGATGAAGCTTTCCAACCGGCAAGCTTCAGGACCATACGATCCAAGATGGTCTGGTACATACCATTTGGAATACAAGAACCCCTAAATATCT